GGTGAGAAAGAGACAGAGAGACAGAGAAAAAGTGAGTCAAAGGGAGACGCTGGGCTCCTGTCTAGTGAGCCCTACGCATCTCTTCCCACCAGCTGGGGCCGGAGTGGGCAGAGTGGAGCAAAGGTGACAGCCCTGCGCTGGAGACAGGGGCCTGGATCCCCTTGGACATCTGGAGTGGGAGCGATGGAGCCACAGGAAGGGGGTGAGTGGTGTTTCACTTAGGCCCTGGGAGGGAAGGACCATTTCCTCAAGAAAGGAGCTCACCTGGAGACACCAGCAGGCTGATGTTTCTGAAAATAGTGATTACGTTTCTGGAAGAGTTGTAGCTTCCACACCAGTAGAGCCCCGAGTCTTCCTCCCTCAGCTGAGTCATGTTGATGGTGAAGAAACCAGCATCTGGGGCGTCCCAGATCGTGTATCGAGAGTCCTGAACTGCTGTTCCAGGCTTGGAGCTGATGACTAACAGGGTACAGCGATTTGGAGACATCTCCCGACACCAGGCTTTCTTCCTGTAGGGTCCTTCCTTGGGAAGGTACCGGCATCGGACCGAGAGTGTCTGTCCCGCCACTTCATGAAGCTCCTCAGGCACTATGTCTCCCTGGGAACCTGGAGAAGCCCTCATGTCAGAGCCCTAGCTGGACCCATCCACCCTGTCACGGGGCTGGGGGAGGGAAGAGGGACCAGCTTCTGATGCCCGCACCCAGGAAATGGTCCCCAAAGCCAGCCTTCTGGCCACAGAGCCACCCTGCTCCCTGCCCCAGCTCTCTCCCTCACTCCCTGCATCTCACCTGAGGCCAGGAACACCAGCAGGACAAGTGGCAGGAGCAGGCACAGGGCTCCCCAGGCCATGCCACCCCCAAACTGTTTCTGATGGTGGAGGACAGAAGGAAAGGGAGGCCTCTGGGGAGAGGGAACCCGAAGCTGGGCCTAAGTCTGCCCCAGCAGAATTCTGGGCTGGGAGAACTGAGAGAGGCTTGGTTGGGGAAGTGGTTGGCCTGAGAGGCAGGCTCCATGGGCAGGGAGGAGGGAGGGACAGCCAGGCTCTTTCTTTGAGGAAGGAAAACTTAAAATTCAGAAGTATGATTCCCTCTTTAAAAGGAAAATCTGCTTTAATTAAGAGGAAACTGTAAGTCAAACTGGTCAGATGTAAAAGTACCATGTGCTACAAAAAGTTTTCAGCCATATTAGGAACCTAAGTTTATAACCAGGAACTGAAAGTTTGTTAGCTGACCAGATAGTGTATGAGAATATCTTCGTACATTGGCTAAAGGACAGTATTCAAAATATGCTTGTCAAAGGCTGGCTTCCCAAAGGCTGGCATGTCACCAACATGACCTGCTGATGCGAGAAAGCTGAGTTGCTGATATTTAGGGAACCAAATGTAATTAAACCCATCCACTTTCTCCTTGTGACTTATGTTTTGGGATCTTATCTAAGATGCCCTCCCCAATCTGAAGCCCAGTCATATTTTAAATATTGTATTTTAGACAGTGTATAAATGCAGTTTTGATATCCACAAACACAACACGAGAAATGTGCCCCCTGAGAGGGCCAGGACATTGTTCAACCACACTTTTTCATAAAAAAAATGTGCAACTTCCATGGAAAACTGCACTGTGTCTAGCACATTCCTCTCATGTTCTCTGGTTCTGATTCAATGAAAGCTATTTCGTAATTCTGTAAATTGTAGGTAATTGATAGACATACAAATTTTGTCGTCTTTCCTCTGTTGTGGGAGGGATGAAAACCCCCTCAGTCACCTAGATCTGTGTTACCTAATAGTCTAGCCATTAACCACATACGCTTATTTAAATTATAGTTAATTAAAATTGAATGAAAAAAATTCAGTTTCTCAGTCTTACTTGCCATATGTTAGATGCTCCACAACCACTCGTGGCTGGTGGCTGCTGTGCTGGACAGGACAATATGGGACATTTCCATCACCCCAGGAAATTGTGTCTGAGGGCACTGCTTTCTAGATTGTTGTTTCAATATAACTGGTTGGCTAACAAAGCTTTCAGTTTCTTGTTATAAATTAAGCTTCGTATTAATACAGAGGAAAACTTTCTATATGGAGTAAAGAAACACTGAAATGAATTGCATGGGAGACAAAGCAGTGTGGGGGTTTTCATCCCTCCCACAGCAGAGGAAAGAAGACAAAATTTGTATGTCTATCAATTACCTACAATTTACAGAATTATAAAATAGCTTTCATTGAATCAGAACCAGAGAACATGAGAGGAATGTGCTAGACACAGCGCAGTTTTCCATGGAAGTTGCATATTTTTTTATGAAAAAGTGTGGTTTTGAGAGTCATTCCCAGATGCTCAGAGTGAAATGTGTATAAAATAAAACACATGAATCACTTCTATATATTTTCAAGGATCTACACAAATATAAATACATGTATGGAAAGTAGACTGAACGGACATACATTAAATATACTAAGAGGATGCCTGGTGGGGAGAGGGTAGGAGTGCAGCTAGGGGATGAAGGTGCGAAAAATTAAAAAACACATTAAACCAGATAAGTGGGGAAGTGTGTCCGTGGATGACTGTGTGCGTGGGAGAGGATGCTGACAGTGGGGAAGGCTGTGCACATGTGGGAACGGGGGCTGTATGGGAACACTGCACTGTCTCCTCAATTTTGCTATGAACCTAAAACTGCTCTAAAAAAAAAAAAAAAGTCTATTTTTTTTAAATGACCGGAAGAAGAAACCTATATAATTTTATTAACCAATGTCACCCCAATAAATTTAATTTTAAAAATACNAAAAAAAAAAAAAAAGTCTATTTTTTTAAAATGACCGGAAGAAGAAACCTATATAATTTTATTAACCAATGTCACCCCAATAAATTTAATTTTAAAAATACAAAAACATGTTTAAAAAAATGACCAGGAGAGTGGGAGGTCTGGCCATAGTTTTCACGGGAGGGCCAGAGACGTCCCCAGCAAAGGGGGTCTGGACAGCAGGGAACAAACATAAGGTTCATTTGGATGACGCTTTGTGAGTTCCAGTTGTTGTATTTAATGCAAAAAAGTAGCTTGCCATTTTCTGGGCCTCCGATTAGTTCAGTGCATCTCTTTCCACCCATCTCCCCACTGTCCTCTCATTACTGCTTTTCTCTTCCTGAATAAGAAAAGGGCTAGGCAGAGATCTCACAGAAGATGAGGAAGCCTTTGATTTACCCAGGAGAGAAATTTATTATTTTTGTTTATTTACTGAACATAGAGTGGAAGTGATGTTTGCTGGGGGAGGCAGGCCCTCCAGTCAGCTCCTGGAAGGGTGACTGCTGCTCCCCTGGGTTTGGCTCACCTGAGGAATAGACAGGATTTGCAAATGATCCATCCATGCCAGCCCTGGCTCCAGTCTCCCTCCCCCCTCCTCTAAAGAAAAGACTGGATTGCCAAGCAGCAAACCTCCCTGTCTTCTCCCACCCCAGAGGGAGAGGCGCTCCTGTCCTGGTGAGCCCAGCCCAGCGCCATGCACACTGTTCCAAGGGCTGGCCCTGCCTCCAGGGCAAAGACTCCTGCCAACAGAAGTGGGAAAGTCGGGGGACAAGTCTGGGGAAGCCCTGGGCCCTGGGCCCTATAACCCACATCTGCAGCCACCTCCTGGGTCCCCTCATTCATTCCTACCCCAAGCCTGGCCCCAGCCCCCACTCACCTCAGGCCCAGGCTTTCCAAAGAAGGACAAACAGGACTGAGAAGACCAGGCTCTTGTTCAGGACAAATCCACAAGTCAGAACAATAGCAGCATCTGCGGGCTGGAAAGGTCAAGGGCAAGCGTTGGTGTCCTAGGTTTGACCCTCCTGAGTGCGAAAGGGTGGGTGTCTGCTGAATGCTCTGCTCTGGAGCTCAGCCTCTCCTGCCTCCTGGCCATGAGAGCAGCCAAGCAGGGACCTGCACACCTTGAGGCTGGGCCTTACTTTCCCCATAATCCTCTGCCTTGCTCTTACCCTCCAAGAATCTACCTGGTCTCCTGCCTCTAACATCTCCCTTCTGCCTACCTCCTGCACAAGCTCCTGGGTCACTGCACTGAGCCCTCACTCTTCCACTCAGGGGGCTGGGAAGCCCCTCGTGCTCCCACTGCCTACAGGACAAAGTGGACGAGGCTGCATGGCGCTCGAGGCTCTCACACTCTGAATCCACCGCCTGCTTTAACCTTACCCATCTCCCCTCCACTCAGCCAAAGTGTCCGCCTTTGTAGCCGACACACTCTGTGCATTCCCACCACCTGCTCCTGGGATGGCGGCCGCCCCTCTTCTGCATCTATTATTCCTCTGCTGCCTTCAAAGTCCCTCCTCCTCTAGGGAGTGGTCCCTGCAGCCCCTCCACCCCACCCCCTGCCCCAGCAACTCTCCTTAGAGAAGGACTTCCATCCATCCCATTCCTTTAACTCCAAGAAAGAGGCTGCCAATTGCTCAGATTCCATTCGCACCTAGGCCATGTTTTCTAGGTAATGCCTTGTCATCAGGGGTGTAATACACTTTACGATCTTAGCTCCCCAACCCCAGCTCCTTTCCTCTGCAGCTGCTTGATGGGTTCTGCTGCCTTGAGGTAATAACATTCAAGGCTTGCTTGAGGGCTTCAGGACCTTCTCCGCCTGCCTAGAGCAGGAGACAGCCCTCCAGGAGGTCTAGCCTGGCTCTCAAGCCCACATGTGAGGCATGAGCCAAGGGCCCAGCTAATAACCCCAAAGTATTATTCCCCTTTACTGTGGCCCCTGTGCAGCAGCCCTCATTCAGACACAACTGACGCTGAATCCAGGTTGCCCTCTAGGGTTGGTTCTCTTCGACTGACATCGGGCCCTGCTGGGTGCCAGAGAATGTTGCTGAAGATGGTACAGCATACCCTGCCCTTGCCAGGCTGTCAGCACCACCTGGCTGACTTAACCTGAACCCAAGAGGCACCTCCTAGATATTTGGAACAATTTTTCTTCTAGAAGCTGAGCAGCTATATCCCAAGTTCATTGCCATGGGACTGTACTATATTTGGAAGATAAACATTCACAGGGTCCTAGAAGGTCAAAGGTGAAAGCAGCATTCAATACTATCCAATCTAACCCCTAAGGAACAGGGGATGTCCAAGGTCACTCAGTAGACAGCAGCAAAGCCAGCAGCGGGACCCCTGTCCCTTGACTGCCTGCTATATATTTCTGTGACATTCTGCTGGTCTCAGTCTTTAGAATCTTGTCCAGTGAGCCTGGCCTAATTTTCCAGCTCTTAGCTCCCACGTCCACCAAACCCATCACAGTCAAGTGGCCCTTCACCAGGCCACAACAGGTCCTGGGCTCACTTCTGACCCATCATGGAGCTTGTCCATTAGGCAGGGAACTTCCCTTCTCCTGCTTCCCATGGCCCAACTTCTCTCCCTTAAATTCCCATTTCAAGCCTCTCTTCCTATAGTAGGGTCTGGTGGACAACATCCATCACTTCCAAATAGCATGACATTATGTAAGTTTCTTTCTGTGGGCATCTCCTGCCATGCCCTCCCCTACCTGGAAAAGCTAAGAAAAATGTAGAATGATTCCCCACAATTCACTGAGGGTAAGTCCATTGATCTCTGGGCAGGCCCAACACCACTCCAGAAAGAAATCTCCATTCATTTGTTTTAACCTAACTAAAAACAGTGCTGGCTGCCCTTCCCTCTCCAGGCCACCTCATGTTGACCGCAAGTGTCCTTTTCAGAGGATTATGTTTTTGTTTCCCCTGGGAGACCAGTAAGTCCTTCAGGCAGGGACAATCTGTACTAGACTCAGTTTCCTTAGCTACATAGCTGAAAGTTTTCTCCAATTCCTGCAGAAAAGAAATATGAAGCTGCTATGAAACTCTACTGCCTGCTGTTTG